TTTCTTGCTCCTCTACTTTTGATGCCAACACTTGTTGAACAACCATTTTGGTCCCTGAATCTCTGGAGGGGATGCTCTGGGGCTGCTCTGCTTGTGGGTGGCACGGACTTCTTTCACAGTTTATGTAAGGAGGCAGTAGCATGGGCACTCATGTTTGCAATTGGCTGAGATACATCGTTTAATTTAGCAAATTAGGAAATGGTGGGCATGTGGTTGTGTTCTCTCATGGTGACTACAGGAGCATTGTTTCCATAAGAAATCTGACCCCAAATTTTATTTCACCAAAGAAAACCCAGAGCACACTGAAAGTAAATCCAGGGCCCAGCATCTTCTGCTGGGTGAGGCTGAAGGAGCCAGCTCCTCCTGGGGCACTGCGTAATGCAGTGTGGCTCTGTGATTTGGGGTGAGGGAGTGACAGAGAGCCCATCACTGTTATTAACTTTTGGAGTTAGGCTCCAAATACAATTGCCCCTACGACTACATTCTTTCAGTGTAATTACATCTGATTCATTTATGGAATACCATGTATTGTATCTGTAGCTCCAGTTCTCAGTGTGTGTGAAGAGAAAGTGAGGTTATATTATCACTGCAATTGAGAGGAACTAGGACAAGTCTTATTAATTTCCTGCCACAGAATACTGAGTAAGCCAATATTTTATGGGAAAGTTCAGGGAGAAGAGTAATATATGTTACATTTCTGAATTCTACAGGATACTCAAGGAGTTTTACTGGCAATTGATTTTTCTGCAGGTAAATTGTGACCCTTGATAGGCAGATGGGCCCCAGATACAGTGCCTCTGTGAGATGCCTCAGTGAGGGCGTGATGTGGGGGAACAGGAATGCATCAGCTCCCTTTGGCAGGTGCTAAGGAATGGGACATTTGAAGTCCTGCTGGCAGAAGCTGCCTTCCCCCAGCTAAGGCAGCCAGCACTGCTTTACCCACAGTACTGTGGGTACTGATGGCTCACAGGAATATTTAGCAAACAAGTGTCTGATTAAAAAAAAAAAAAAAATCCCTCATTTGGCATTTGAGAAATCATTTCTCTTTACAGACATTAACTTTTACCCACTATGTCACTGTCCGGTGCCTCTCGTGGTTCACTAGGGAAGACCTGAACACAGTGATGTGGAGGTGATATTTTTCTGTTACCCATAATGAGCAGCAGTGGGATTGGCTGTGGCAGCAGGGAGCTCCAGCACTGCTTGTTTCATGGCTGGTGGATATATTTAAGATGTTCCATTAAGCAGCTAGCTATGGAGGGCATCTTGGAGGTGTTTTAAGTGGATGATGTGTGCCTTTAAAATAGAGAGAATCCACTTGGATGTGTTATCCAAGCCAGGCAAGGGCTTGTGGCTGCAGCGTTACGCTTGGGGTTAAGCATGATTCAACTCCCATGCTTCTTCACACTGCTGTTCCGCACAGACACTGCAGCCAAGCACCTGGCAGGTGACCAAGTTGTCCCCAGTAGGACAGGGGCTGGAAGTCCCTCAGCCTGGCCAGGTTCCCAGGCTCTACCAAGGGCATGGGGATGGGAAACACTGCTTTCTTGTCTGCTGGTGTTGTGCTGCAGCACTTGCTCTCTGGTCACTCTCTGATCACTGGTGCCCCAAGCTGCTGTATGGAGAAGGAGAGCTGGAAAGCGGCTGTCTTCACAGGCTGAAAGCTGCCCACATTCAGATTGAAGGCGCAGTGCTTGGTGCTAAGATCAGCTGCCTTATTGTCCAGACACTGCACAAAGAAGAGCAGGTACCTTCTGAAGCACTGTGCAGATGGCAAGGAAGAAAATCTGGTTTTCTGGGGACTCTCAGCAGCCCCAGAATGACCAATGTGCTGCAGGCAGCGCTACAGAGCACACCTTGGTGCACAGAGCTCTGTTGGGGTATTTTCTCTTCTTTAGATGAAAAACCCAGCTTTTGGATTCGGGCTAAAAAAAGTATTCATCCTGCTAAGTAGATTGAAAGAGAATCCAGATTAAATAAATCATTAAATCATTCCAGAATGTTATCCACCTGTTCTGGCCTGCAATTTATTTTCAGATGAACGTTAGGTTAAAAAAAAAAAAAAAAAGCCACAAGTAATATAGTGCCTTTCCCCAGCAGATGCTTTGGGCCAGAAATGGCATTTGGCCCAAAAGCTGTTCATGCTGCCTTTGAGATTGTGTTGAACCAATTGCTGCCGTCCATTGCTTCATTACCTCAGTATCCATGTAGTTCTACAACTTCTGCTCCTTTAAGGAGGGATCTCCAAGGGCTGTGTTTCTCGTCCTGTGAGAATGACAGAATTGTCCCTGCTGCCCTGGGCAGCTCTGCCCTTCAGGGGAAGGACAGCAGGGCACCAAGCAGAGCAAGGGCTGACATCCCGCTCCTTGTCACAGCCGCTGTCCTGGTGTGGGGTGCAGGGGTGAGTGAAGGTTTCCTCTCCCACCCTCCAGCAAGGGGAAGCATGAGACCAGGAGGCACTGAGCCAGGTGGTGCTTTGTGTCCAGGGCCATGCCGTGACCCCGGGGACAACAGGAGCGCTTGTGCTGGTACACGAGGGACAGAAGCACAGCAAGCAGGTGCCCGAGGGCAGCGTGGGGGACTTGGGGAAAGCAGTGGGGAATTACGCTCTTCTCCAGCTCTTCCCTACCTCCCTCCCACCCAGTCGCAAGAACTCGAGCCCTCCTTCACATCTCCCCGGAGCGCCTTTCTACAGCTTTCCACTCCCCCCCGGCGCCCACCCCGTAACGAGCCGTCGCTTTTGCTGACCGCAGCAGTCCGCGGGCGGGAGGAGCGGGATGGCGGCCCCCGTGTGCGGGGTGCAGCCCGGAGGGGCCGCCCGGGGAATGCCGCCGCCCCCGCCGGGCCGTGCCGCAGGGCGGGTCACCGCGGGGCCGCAGGAAGCCCGGGGGGGCCGGGCAGAGCCTCAACGTCTCGACCGCACAAAGGCGGCCTTTCATCGGCCCCCGCACCGCCGAGCCCCTAATTGTCTCGGAGAAAAGTTCATTAGCGAGCGCGGCGCGGCCTTTGAGCGGGCGCAACGGAGTGTGTGCGGCACCCGGACCGCACCGGCGGCACTGGGAGCGGCGGGGGGAGGCCGGCACTGTCCGCTCCTCGCTCCGGGCGGTTGTCGCGGGCCTTACGGCACCGGGACGGTACGCCCCTCTGGAGCCCGCCGAGCCCGATCCCCCGATCCGTGCTCCGCTCCCGGTATTTGTTCTCCGTCAATCCACGCTCTGGTTTTTAATCAAAACAGTATTCGGAATATGATTCCGGGAGATTATATTTGGAGAGATTTGCGATACATATCTTGCCGGCGTGACAGATTGCAGAGGAGTCCTGGGCGGGCGGGCCGGCGGGATAATCTGCATCTCGCTCGCTTGACCTTTAATAAAAAGGGAGGCAAAGTAATAAAAAACACGAGTCTTAAGGCTCCCGGAGGGTACCTTCGTGCCTGCCTTAGCAGCATCCCAAAGCTTCCCGGCCCCGCCGAGCCCCCGCCGCCCCTCGGGGCGCTGCCGGGACGGCTCCGGGGCTTCGCCTCCCGCGGGCGGCTCCGGGCGTCCCGTCCCCGCAGAGCCGGGATGGAGCCGCGTGGGGACCCTGCGCTGCGCTCCTCGGGGCGGCACCCGGCCTCGCCGGTGGCACAGGAGGAGCGGCCAAGTCGTCTTTCGAGAACCCTCCGAAAGGGCCTAATACTCTTTATTACAGGCCCTAATCCTTCAAATCCCACTTGAAATAATGTTTATCTTTTCGCAGCTTAATTTCCCCTACCCTAAGCTGCGGGTCACTGCGACACAGCGCGCTGTTACCGCGCCGCTCGGGGTCGCCCCGGGACCGCAGAGCCCCGCGGCCGCGCGCTCCCACCCCGCCTCGGCCCGGCCCCGCTGCCCCTCCGCTGCCCCAGCCCCACGTCCGCACCCCCAGGAATTCCCTCCGCTGCCTTCGGTACCTTGGGTAAACACAGAGAAGTGTACTCGATATTCAAGATTGATTTCCCTGATTTATTAAGGCAGAATTCATTGGACTCTATTGACCACAAATGACTTAATGTAAATGCTGACCCCGGTGAACTTCGAAATGGCAGGTATCGGCTTGATCTATAGATGACCTCTTAATTACCGCAGTTATTAATTTAAATTATTGCCACTGCTTCTAGAAACAGGAACAAAGAAACATTCTTTCCTCATCCCTGCTTGGTTTATTAGTTCGAACATAAAGTGTTTGATGACACTTCTAATTAAACAGAAAGAATGCAGAGATGCGGTTTCCCTTTTTCGGCCGTTCCGCGGAGAGCAGCGCTGCCCGGGGCGGAGGCGGCGGCCCGGACCCACCGAGGTCGCCCGACCGCCGCCGCCCCGTCCCCGCCCGGAGCAGCGCCGAGTGCCGCGGGGTCACGGCGCGGCCGGGACAGTGCTGCCGGGGACTGCGCATCGTGCGCCGCCGCTCCGAGCAATGGAACCAGCGGGTTTGGGGGGAAAGTAACAACAAAAGCACGACGTGGGGAAACGGGAGAAAAGCTGAGTCTCGGTTTTGGTAAAGACATCAATCGCGCGTATTTAACGAGCGGCATCGAGGTCGGGACCGCTCCGCCCGCCCTGCGAGCAGCGGTGCCCGCCGTGCCCGGGCCGGAGGCTCGGCGCTGGGCAGTACCGGGTCCTGCTTCAGGGCGAGAGCCTGGCTGCAGCCAGAGCCCCGCCGCCGGCGCTCAGGAAGGGGCAGGCGGCCCTGCGGGAGCGGGGGGAGGGGGAGAGGCGGAGTGAGCGGCCCGGGACGGGCACCGCGGGGACGCGCCCGGCCGGGGCAGCGCCGGGAGCGGGGCGGAGCGGGCGGCCCCTCACCTACCTCACCTCTTCAGCACCGGCCTGAAGGCCGTCCGCAGCCGCTCCAGGCACGTCCCGCCCGGCTCGGCGCCTCCCGGGCCGCCCCCGCCGCCCCGCCCGAAGCCTGCACAGATACACGCAGCTCGCGGGGGCTCCGCCCGACCCGGCCCCGCCGCATCCCGGGCCGCCGGGCACGATTCAGGGCCGCGGGCGCGCAGGAAGCGGCAGCCCCGTCCGCCCCGTCCCCCCCGCCGCCCCGCCGGCGCGGGTACCTTCGCCCGCCGCGTACTGGCACGGCTGCCCCTGGCCGCGGTGGGACGCGCAGCTCCGCGGGACGGGTTGGGGGCTGAAGGCGGAGCTCCGGAACGGGGCCTCTGCGGCCGGGGGCAGCTCCCCCGCCGCCCCGCCGCCCTCCTCCGTACCGCGACCCTCGGGGCTGCCTCTGCGCGCCGCGTTGGCCCCGGCCGTGCGGGCCAGCGACCAAATGCGCGGCTTCTCCGGGGACGCGTAGGGCGGCGGAGGGGCGAGGGCAGCGGGGGCCGCGGAGGGGACCCGGGGGCAGGGGAAGGCGCGGCACGGCCCGGGCACGCTGCAGGCGCTCCGCGGGGCACCGGGCAGAGCCGCGCCGGGGCCGGGGGCTTCCTGCAGAGAGCCGGGCCGGCCCTTCGCCGCCTTCCCCGCTTCCTCCTCGTCCTCATCCTCCTCGTCCTCCTCCTCCAGGTCGTCCACGTCGCTGAGTCGCAGCTCCTTGTCCTCCTTGCAGCTCTTCCGCTCTGCTCAACATACAGCGGGGCGGCGGGTCCTTAGGGCAGGTGCGGGGCCCGGGGCCTCTCCGCACCGCCCGACCCGTCCTGTCTCGCCCTGCCCTACCTCGGCCGTCGCTCCCCGCGCCGAACTCCCCGTCGTGCCGCGTGCCGTCCTCCTTTCTCTCTTCCCCCGCTTTGTTCTTGGGAGACCAGGTCATCTTGTTCTCCTTCTTGAGCCGCCGCCGCGCGTTGGCGAACCAGGTGGAGACCTGGGTGAGGGTCATCTTGGTGATGATGGCCAGCATGATCTTCTCGCCCTTGGTGGGGTACGGGTTCTTGCGGTGCTCGTACAGCCACGTCTTCAGGGTGCTCGTCGTCTCCCGAGTGGCATTCTTGCGCCGGGCCGAAGCGGTGAAATCCACTGGCCCGTACCTGCGGGAGCGGCGTGAGGGGTGCCCGACCCCATCCCGGCCCTGCCCGCCCGGCTTCCCGGCCGCCTCCCCGGGCGCTCCGGCGGCGCGGTTACCTGTCGTACTGGTACTGCCCCAGGGAGTGCTCGTACGAGTAGTAAGCGGCGGGCTGCGTGATCCCCGAGTGCAGCGTGCTGGCGCCATCCTTGATCTCATACTGGGGGTTCTGCAAGGCAAGCGGCAGCGGTGGGACCCCGACCCCGACCCCATCCCCGGCCCTCGACGGCCCCGCAGGGCTGAGCCGCGCCGCCGCGGCCGTCGGGCGCTCCCTCGCTCCCTCACTCACCAGCGCGGTGTAGATGGCGGCGGGCTCGGCGCTGTAGGGCAGGTAGTTGCCGTAGCCCTGGCCGGCGGCGTACGGGGCTCCGTACATGCCCAGCGCCGCATTGAGCTCGGCGCGGCCGGGCGCCAGCAGCCGGCTCTCGTACGGGGCGCAGCACAGCGAGGCGGCGGCCGGCGCCGAGGACGCATCCGGGCCGGAGCGGGGAGCGGGCTCGCAGCAGGACGCGCCGGGGCTGCCGGGCACCAGGAACTGCGGCGGAGAGACGGGGCGCGCTGAGCGGCCGCGGGGCAGCCCCGGAGCGGCGGGGGCGGGCGGGGGCGGGGGAGCGGCGGGGAGCGGGGACGCGCGGAGCGGAGCGGGCGGAACTCGGAGGGAACGGTCGCTCTCGAAAATGGCAAAGGATCCGCGCGGTTCCCCCCTGCCCGCCCCCCTCGGTCCGTTAGCATCGATTTCAAGGCAAGAAGTTGCGATTACAGTTAATTCCACAATAGACAAAGCAGTAAATATGTCAGCTAACGCAATCGAAGGCACTCGATTTCAATAAGTTGAAAGGGACGGCGAACTTCCCGAGCGGGGGAGGCACACACACCTCGCCGTGCTTGCGGCGCCCGAACCGTCCCACCCAAGCCGGGGCGCGGCGCGGGGCGGCGGTGCGGAGCGCCCCGGGGTGCGGGGTCCGACGGCGGCTCCGCGGGGAGCGGCGCCCGGGGAGCGCGGCACGGAGGGACGGAGCGCGCGTGTGTTTGTTTGTTGCGCTTCCGAGTGAGCGGTGGAAGGGGAGCGGGGACAGGAAGCACCGGTTTCCCAAACGCCTTTCGCTGTGCGAACTGCGAGCTATTTGTTTAAGCCTAACACGACACGAACGAGACATAAACACACACGCACATTTTTTAAAAAAAGGCTCCAGATGTGCCCTTTTAAAAAAAGACTCCAAGTAAGGGAAAGGGAGGAAAAAAAGGGAGGGGGAACAGACATCTGGACGGCAGCAGCGGAATCTGAACAAAAGTGAGTGCTGCTCACTCGCCTTACCTGCGAAGTGGTGCTGTAGGGGTATCCGAACTGGGAGAAAGACATAGCCGCTCCTTATTTTTGGACCATAGGCAATATTTTCCCCCCAAGATCGATTGTAACTAAACCCCGCTTCAGGATGCACCTTCTCACACACACATTTCCACGTATGGCTTTTTTTTTTCTTTTTTTTTTTTTTTTTTTTGCTCAATTATAGATGATTGCACTTAAGAAAAGCAGCCCGACATCTGAGGCGGGGGGGGGCTCCCTGCCTGGGTTAAACAAAAATAAAATCGGCTGCCCCCCGCTTCCCATCGCTTTGAATAAATATGTTTGGATAGAGAGAGTTTAAAAAGCCACCCCACATGTATAAAGAGTTTAAGTGCAAAGGGGCTTTTTTTTTTTTCTTTTTTTTTTCCTCTTTTTGAAGGAGGGGGGAAATCACGTCGGGCTCGCAAGACACGGACCCGCTTGGTGCATTATTTTCTGCTCTATAGGTCTCGAGCGTTCCGCGGTGGGCGAGGAGCGGGCTGGCTGACGTCACGGGCTGCCGGCAGCGGCGGGCAGCGGCGGGCAGGGCAGGGGTAGGGATAGGAATAGGGATAGGGACCGCGACGGGGGAATGCAATGGGGCAGGGGCAGCTGTACGGGTAGGGATGGGGAGCGGCGGGCAGAGGCAGCGATAGCGGTAGCGGATGCGACGGGGCAGGGGCCGGCAGCGCCCGCAGCCCCGCGGTGCCGTCCCGTTGGGGCGGAGGCAGGCAGCGAGTGTTTCCCTGTTGGTCTCGCTCCTTTTATTTTTTAAGCAATCCGAATTTGACTCCGGGGGAAAAAAAATTGTGATAAGGGGGGAAATCGCGGCACTGAACGAGCTTGTTTCCCCAGGGCTCGGACGGAGGGCAGGCGGTGGGCAAGCGGCTCCGCCAGACTCCCGTCGGGATACTATTGCCGTCCGATCCCTGGTTACCCCCGCAGCGGAGCGGAGCCGGGCCCGGGTCGTGCCTCCCTAGAGGAGAGGTCGGGGCGGGTAAGGGTGGATGGCTGCCCGCAGCCCGGCCCAGCCCGCACCGCAGCGCCCAGCGGCACCGATTAACTGACGGCAGCGGCCATCGTGCAGGTTTGCCTTTGAGGCGACATCCGCGGGTGGTAAACGGGGATCCCCCTGCGACGGGCCCGGCCGCGATTTGCTTTCGGGGGGAAACGAACAAAACTAGAAATTAAGGGGGGGGGGGAAAAAAAAAAAAAGGTGGAAAAAAAAGAAAAAGAGAGAAGAAAAAAGAAAAGCCGACAACTTTTCCCCGTTCCGGCGCTGGGCCCGGCGGGCGGCGGCCGCTCTGCCCGTCCCACTGCCCGGTGCCGCCCGGTGCCGACGGGTGGCGCTGCCGAGCTGCGCGCCGGGCCGGGCGGGGCGCTGCGCGGGGCTGCGGGGCGGCTGGGAGCGTCCTGACGGAGCACCTCTGGGGAGCATTACTGCTAATTATTTAATTGCGAGAATCCCTCTGGGGGAAATTATGCTAATTATAAAGTAATAAAACCACTTGTTCTAAAGCACTTCATTCAGCAAAATTGAGGGGTTTTTTCCTTTTTTTTTTTTTTTTCCCTCTTTTTTCTTTCATTTGTTAATTTATTCATGGTTTTTTATTTTTTATTTTTTTTATTTTTTACCGGCACATGTGTTGTCCGCCCAAAGAAGCAGGCATTGTGTATTCTGACTTCAGTTGTGCAGCCAACCTGAGTGCATCTCTGACTGCTGGGCATGCTCAGCTGAGCCCAGCTATGATCCATGGCCATGCTCCGGCAGTGCTTGGCCCTATGGAAGTGTTTTGCCACACGCTCCGTTCCTCCCTGTGCCCAGGAGCTACCCCATGAATTGCCCTTAGGCCCCGGCTGCGGCCAGCAGCAATGAGGGCTCTGCCTTTTCCCAGCTGTCTGTGAGCAGCATCTTGAACTCAGCCTGGTTCTGTGCTTTGGGAAGCAACGTGCAATTTGCTACTTTCGTTGCAGGGAAACAGCTTCGATTCCATTCTGCTGCCTCTCAGAGAAGCATAACTGGTGAACTGGTGCTGTAAGAGGTCACTGCAGATTTCTCTTTATCCAAACTCGTGCCGTCTGTGCCCCACTTAAGCTGTCCCCACATGTGCCCAACACAGTGCCTGTTCTGAGTTGCCCAGCCAGGGCTGTGACTGTGAGCACAGGCAGATCCACAGCAACCCCCTCAACTCACAAACTTCTGTTCCTAACAGAGGGGAGCACAACAGTACACATTTCCCCGAGCTCTTCCTCTTGAAGCAAGGCAGGAGTTCAGATGCAGCCCACATTGTGATTTTTGGTGCTTTTACAACCACCACCATTTGTTTTAGCTGTGATTACCTCTTTGCTTAGAGGTAATTGAGAGGAGCAGTGCATGCTTTGCAGCAACACAAACACAGGCGCCGATAACTGTGAAGGAAATAATAAGTTAATTGACATAAGCGTTAGAGCAGCGGCTCTGGGAAGGAAGAATAACGTTCTGAGAGAGGCAGGAACAAAGCAGCTTCAAAAACAAGCAGCAGAAATGTGGTGGAGAATAAAGTCTCTTTATATTTTAGAATATGGGGGGATTCTTTTGGCCGCATCTTTTTTTTTGTACTGAGAAAATGAAAATTCTTCAAGTCCATGCATGAATAAACAAGTACAGCTGGGCAGCCTAATACATAATTTATACTGATCAGTCATTGTAGATTTAACTGAATAAAGCCAAAATGAACACTAATTGTTTTGACAAACTAAAATAGTGTATATGATGGTGCATTGTGCAGCTCGCTGGGCACTGCCCTTATCTCAGTGGCTATTGTCAAGACCGATTTCTGCATGAGAGGCAGAAAAAGATGAAACAAATTAGGACAGTATTAAGATTAATATCTTGTTGGAGATAAAGCATTTTAATTGCTCAGCGTACAAGCAGAAAATAGAACTGTTTTCAGGACAGAGGGGAGAACTGGCACAGTGAAGCGTGGGACACACGCTGGTGTGGGGCAAGATGTAATTGGGAGGATAAAGTGCTGCCCTGTGAACCGGGGGAGAAACACGAGGGGCTGGGGGGCTTTTTTAGAGCAACTTTGGAACACAGTGGGAATAACTCTGGTTGTCTTTGGGCATTCATACTCCAGAAGGGATCATCAAAATGGTGTTGCTGGCTAGCTGTGCACCTATGGCAATTGGAGGAGCTGAATGGTTTTGCTCCACTGGTGTCGGATGCTCCTGCACTCTGCCACGGTGCGGGGAGGGTTGTGAGGAGCACAGAGGGGAGGGGCAGTGACAGCCAATGGAGCCATGGACGGTGTGGTGGCCTTGAGTGGACCTTCACTCTGCTTGGCCACTACGGAAAGGCTGCTTTGTTAAAGGAGCTGTGCAGCAGGGTGATCCATGGCTCCTTTGGCACAGCTGAGCTGGACGCCAGGCTCACCTGGTGCTGCTGGGCACCACACCATGCAGTGTCTCCTTGGCCTCTGCACAGCTGCTGTGCTGCTGGAGAGAAGGGGCAGTCTGGGTGAGTGGGCTGCTTCTGAGCTGGAGGCTCTGATCTGTATTACTGCAGGTATCATTCATCATCTTTGTTCTGTGGCAGTGAATGACAGTTTTATTCCATTTCCTAGTCTGCTCGCTGTAATTTCCAGGATCTATGCTTTAATTAGTGTGCCGGTTACATGCGATGGTGCCTTATTTTCCATGAGTTATCACCAGCTTACGTGCCCCATTAAACATGGGGATTGGAGCTGCTGCTTTATTTACCTTCATTTGTAATTTACCAAAACCCAGCCGTGTTTGCTGCACATTGGAAAGAGCTGCTCTGATAGCTCATACCAGAGACCAAAAGCACTTAACCTAGGACACCTCATCCCAGCCCATCAAATCAGCTGTCCCCAAGGAGCCTCTCCCTTAGTTCAAGCCTGAGCGAAGGGCTCAGCCTGCTGCTCCAAATAGATCTGAATCTGCCCCTGGAGGAGGGAGCAATGAGCAGGAGCCCTGCTCTCACCCTGAGGTCCGTTGGTCCTGGTGCCATGCACACAGGATGCATCCCCACACCCTCCAGTGCCCCCGTCCCCCTCCAGCCATGTTCTGGAGGTGCTGAGGGCTGGGCCAGCTGCCTGGGGAGGCAGGGACCGCTGGGGAGTTCACACACAGGCAGCGCTAATCTACAATAAATCTCGTAAAATCAATGAAAATATGGGAAGTATATCATTTTTAAAGAAAAAACACATGAGACGTGGCCATTAAGGGCACAACCATTCTAATACCTGTGTCTGGTTGGAACTGCAATTAAAAACATTCCAATAATAAATCTACTCTCAGTCTCACTTAATGCTTTTAACTTTCTTGAAAGTTCAAGCTGGTATCCCAAAAATGTGCCAGAACTTTCACAATGTATTTTATAGACTCATAAATAAATATGGCAATTAATCTAAGCTATATTTCTTTCGTATCCGATGACAATTTATTATGACACTCACTCATTCGGTGCACAAAAACTCTAATGCACTTAAAATCGGATTTCAAACCAAACGTTTTATGGGAAAATATAGTATTGATCATCCATTTAAAGATATCATGTGATGATTCATAACCTGCTATAAAAAGGATCTTACGAGGACATTCAGAATGAGTTCTGTGGACCATTCTCACCACAAAATCAAACTTACGAGCTCTGTGGTTCTCAGTGATGTTTTATATTTCTGTTTGGAGTTTTCACCTCTAACGTGATGGTGGTTTATGGCCGATAGCAGCACTAAAATAAAGCATTTTGCCTATCTATGTGAACATTAAATATGTAGAGACTAATTTGTTAAATATATACCGGTGCTTCCCCTCAGATTTACAACATTTATTCCTTTCAAGGATAATTTCCACTATTTGGGGTACATTAATCGCACGGTTTGCGCAATACGCTTCTGCTGCCGGGTCCGTCAAGGAGGATAAAATGGGAAATGTTTCTTTCTACCTTTGTAACCAATTGGTGTCTGCGTCTGTGGATGTGCCAGGTCCCTGCCCTGCCCGCTCTGCTCCCATTGGGAATGGTGCTGAGCAGC